ATTCTATTTATAAACTTTGTCCCCTCCTAACTTTGTTTTCCTCACTTTAAGTCTTTGAACTTTTCAGGCCTGACAATGCATCCCTTTGACCTGGCTTCTACCTGTCACTGGATTCTCAAAGAGAAGAAAGAGAAGCTCTTATTCCTGTTATAGTTCCGGCGGTGGAGGGGATTCTGAGGCTCAGAGGCAGCTTTAAAAGGTGATAAACTGAAAACCTCCCAAAGAATATCACACATCCAGTATAGAAGTGGGCAAAATGTACAGCGAAGTCATTCTTTCCTGTTTTCTTTTATTATAAAGTTGTCCCTGGGAATGCTACTTGTATCAGAGGAGCCTTTCAAGACACATGAACTTCCAAGGCTAATGCTAGGGCCTGTAAGATTCAACATTTAATCTCTCAAGTCTAGTATAATAATTTTTGATCTTGCCCAGCCGATGTTGCTCAGTGGTTGATCATCAATCTATGAACCAGGAGGTCATGCTTTGATTCCCAGTCAGAGCACATGCCTGGGTTGTGGGCTCCATTCTAGTAAGGGGGGGTAGGCATGCAAGAGGCAGCCGATCAATGATTCTCTTATCATTGATGTTTCTATCTCTCTCTCCCTCTCTCTTCCTTTCTGAAATCAATAAAAATATATTTAAAAAATAATTGTTGATCTTGCTGGATTGCTGGTTGCCTTGGTAATAACATTTAATTAGACATCTCTACTTTCTAATAGGTAAATATTTATCAGTGTTTTACTTTAGCCCAGAGAGCTTTGAAAGTCCACTTCATCTCTCCTGTCACATAAAAGCATAATTTTCAATTATCATGAAACAAATGACTTGGGTGGCTTAAAATAACCATTTTTATTTGCTCACAATTCTGTGGGTCTGGAAGAGGAGAAGGAACAGTTGAGTATTCATGTTTCATCAGCTGGGTCAGCTAGGGCAAGTGGACCCACTTCTAAGTGGGTTTCTTTGTCTATATATCTGGGCGTTTGTGTCCTTGGCCTCTGTCGATTTCTTCACATGGCACTTCTTCCTCCAGGACTCTCCTTCATGCATCATGGGCTTCTCTTAGAATGGTAGTCTCAGAGCCATTGCTTTTCTTACATGGTAGCTGGTTTCCAAGAGGCAGGAAGCAGAAGCTGCCAGGCCATTTCAGAACCACACCCAGAACTGGCACAGTGTCACTTCCACCATATTCCATTGGTAATACAGCTACAAGCCCTGTCTAGACTCAAGAGAGGAAGAGAGGTAAGCTCTACCTGTGATGGGGAGACTGTCAAGGTCTCGTTGCAGAAAGTCAGGTCTAATGGGAAATACTTGGAGCCATCTGAGGAAAATTGAACTTTCCAAAGGATGATAAACAGTGACTCTGGTTAACAGTTGGTAAGTGTGATGATTACTGTGTCAAACATCTCACCTGGATTTGAAGGGACAGAAAGGGAAGTTTTCCCACAGAGAGTGATATCCCAACTGAGAGCTGAAGGATGAATGGGGATAAGCTAGATCAGTAGAGAGAAATTTCCAGACAGAGTTACAACAAGCCAATAAGAGAGGGAATGCACATTCCAAACCTAAAAGAAGTTCAGTATGGTGGAAAGAGGGATCTCTCTCTCTCTCTCTCTCTCTCTCTCTCTCTCTCTCTCTCTCTGTGTGTGTGTGTGTGTGTGTGTGTGTGTGTGTGTGTGTGTGTCAGTCCTTGAACAAGTGTGGAAGGTGAGGCCAGGTTAATGACATCCTAGGGTTTCCTCTTGAGGACAATGAAGGTTTTTGGCAGTTATTCCATTTCCCTTCGACTTGGAGAATGGATTGGCCAGTGGTAGGCCTGAAGGCAGGAAGACTGCAGTGGCTAATAGAGAAGATGGATGGTGGCAGTCAAACAGTGAAGGACTGTATGCATTTAAGAGATTGGGAGCAGAATTTGTAGGATTTCAAGTTAACAAAATGAGAACACTTGCATTTCAGGCTAAATCAACTGGCTAAAGGCTGAACTTTTTTTTTGTAAGGAAGGCAGAGCATTTACTAAAGATTGCAGAATGCCAGACAGAGAACCCGTGCTTCTATATTATTTGGAGACAGTTGCAGAAGTAAGGAAATTATTATAATATATAAGGCACAATATTTCATTTCATGGCATTTTGAATGCTGATGTGCATTATTTCATTTAGCTTGAATCATCTAAGTAAGGAGGGGAGGGGTTTTGAACCCCACTAAGGTAAGAAGTTCAGGAGAAGGTCCTTGTTCCACTACTAACCTCTATTAGAGCAAGGTTCTACAAACCAGGTCTGCAGCCCCATCTGGCCCACTGTCTAGTTTTCACTTAGCCTGTTAGCTAAGAATGGTCTCTACATTTTTAAAATTGTGGAAATAAAAAAATAAACAAAAAAGGAATCATATTTCGTGACAAGTGAAAATAATATGAAGTTCAAATATCAGTATCCATAATTAAGGTTTTATTGAAACAGCCACTCGTTTCTGGTATTGGAAGACAGAAACATACCTGGTACCCCTGGTTAAGAATCTTAGCAATGTGATCTCACTTATAAATATAAATTAATGAGCAAAATAAATTGATGAACAAAATAGAAACAGAGTCATGAATACATGAAACAGACTGGCAGATATCAGAGGGGTGGGGGTGGGGGGACTGGATGAAGGAAGATGAAGGGATTAGGCAAAGAGCATATTTGTATAGCTCAGAGACACAGACAACAGTGTGGTGATGGCTAGAGGGAAAGGGGGTTCAGGGCTGGGTGGAGGCGGGCAAAGGTGGGGGTTTGGGGACATCTGTAATAGTGTCAATAATAAAATAAAGGGGGGAAAAAAGAATCCTAGCAATGGATTAAAAAAAATCCTAGCAATTAACTAGATCCCTTCCCTGGCTTCTGAAACTCCACCTTCCCCTGGGAAAACTCTCCAATGCCCCGCCTACCTCTATTCTAAATGGCAAACAGCAGGCAACTTACTTAAGTAAGGAAAGATTGTGTAGTGCTAGGGGCCTGCCAAGCTCATTTTATTTTCATCACAACTGTGCGAGGTTCTATTGTATGATCACTACCATCCCCATTTTACAATGAAAGACACAGAGTCTGAGCCACCCGCAAAAGGTCACAAGGCTAACAAGTGGTGGAGCATGCTTCAAACCCGGAGAGTCAAGCTCTGTGGGTTGTGTGGCAAGCAAACTCCAGGTAAAGACAGGTTTCCTATTGAGTCCAGCTGGGACCTTCACCATAATCAGGGCACTTGTCTGTCCAACACTTTCCTCCGAAGGTCCAGTGCTCTCCCTGAGGCCTCCCCTCTTTCCTCCCCCCCGCCCCCCTTCCTGGCTCAGGGGAGCAGCTCTCCAGGCGGGAGGGGCACAGAGGCCAAAGGGAAGCAGAGCTGGCAGGGGGGAGGGAAGGGCAGAGCAAGAGTTTCCGCAAGACCACTTTTCAATGACGAGTATCGCCCCCTGCCCAGGCCCTGTGAGACCCTTGAACTCCCGCTTCCCTCCTCCTGCCTCCTCCCAACAGCAGCTGGCAAAGTGCTGAGTCACGGTGAGATGCCTGGTTCACCAGCGCTCAGCATGCCTCCTCCCTGCGCTCCAGTCCGCTGCCAGCACCCACATAGCTGCACAGACTCTAGACACCGCCACGTGAGTACCTGGGCGCTCACTGGGTGGGTGGGGGGACGCGTGGGGATGCAGGGCAACAGGGATCAGCACCCAGCCTTCCCCACTCCCCCATCCCTCTTCTGACGCCTAGGGAAGTCTCAGAGGGAGGTGACTAGAGAAGCTTTATAGTCCTTTGCAATCTGGTGAAAATGGTCGCCTGCTTTTCTTTCTGAATTGCAGGAGCCTGGAAGAACCCAGAAATAGTCCAGATGGGATCAAAATACTTTCGAATGGCTTGTAGGTGATGACTGTTCTTTCTGTGCAGTTTTGAAGCTTGGAAACTTATTTCTGTGTCTGACAGTCCAGCACCCAATAAATATTGGTTGATTACCTGCTCCTCTTGACCGACAGGGGAGGACATTGCCAGGTAGAGTGCTTAGAGCACTGACTGCACTCCTTTGAGGTAGGTAGCCTTATCACTCCTGTTTTACAGATGGAAAAACGGAGGAAAGAGAGACTTAGTAGTTGGCCTCAGGCCACACAGATCCTACTTGGGGAAGCTGGGATGCAAACCCAGACTGACTGGCTCCAGGGTTTATGCTCCTAAAGCATCAGTTGGTTTGCGTGGGAATCTTTGAAGAGATCGATTGTATTTCTCTTGAAGAAGAGCTTTAGGGATTGAGGTCACTATCTGCATTTGAAGAGGAAAGGGGATTTGTTGTGTGCTCGGACCTGAAATCCTGGATGCACTGTGAAGGGTAGCTCCTCCAGGAATTTCCTGTGCTCTGGGAGACTTCTTGAGAAAGCCCAAAGATTCCTTACCAGAAATGTTGGTCCTGGACTTCAGGGATAGATGGGTCTTTGAATTTGATGATGATTCTCAAAGATTCCTTTCAATGCCACGATCTTCAGCATCTGGAGAGAGTCATAGACCTCTTGTTTTTTTTTTTTTTTTTTTTTTTTTTTTTTTTTTTTTTTTTTTTTTTTTTTTTTTTTTTTTCTGTGTTTCTGAGTCACCTTGCAAAGCTCTCTTAGCCTGAGGGGTCGGGGGAGGAGAAAAGGGGAGAGCAGTCTGAGAAATTTCAGTGAGGTAAAGTAGATAAAATGCCCACAATGGTAAACCTTGTAGAAGATGGCTGCATGAGATAACAGTAGTAAATAATTAGTAGCTGGGAACCAAGTAACTATTCAAACACATTTGTTCACCATCATGACAGCTGTTTAAATCACCTAACCCACATGTGGTACATAGGAAGCAACCAATAAGTTAGTATTTTGGGCACAATTGATTTTAATATCCTTTCTTTTGTAGTCCTTAGCTATGACTACGACTTAGTGACTACTCTGTTTTGTTCCCTCCACCTTTTGCCCTTCAGCTTCTACAGTTAAGCATCAGAACAGATCCTTTTTGGACTTCGACATGGTGTCCTCCAAGAAAGTCACCCTCTCAGTGCTCAGCCAGGAGCAGTCAGAAGGGGTTGGAGCAAGGGTCCGCAGAAGCATCGGCAGACCCGAGGTATGTTGGTTTTGGTGGCTGCTCTGTGCTTTATGAGGAAGGGACTGGTAGGACACTGAGGGCAAACTGGAATAGCAGGCCCAACATGAGCTGTGGGGCCATAGGAGCCAAGTCTAAATTTGGCATTTGTGGTCCCCCACGGACTAACTCCAACCAAAAGGGGATATATGTATTGTAGATATACCTAGTAGAGGTCCTGAGCAGAAGGTGCAGCTGAGCTTCATGAAATGTCTCTGCCTGTCTCTGCACACCCACATCCCGTCAGCGTGAGCATGCGTATCAGCAGACATGCGCGTTGTATGCCCTCAACTTTACATGCCTACAAGTAAAGGTACAAAGGAGTAACTGAGTCTCAATTCAAATTCCTAAGAGAGAAACTGATTGGCTTGGCTTGGGTCAGGCCTATATCCTTGGTCAGTCAGCCATTGCCAGGGATTTGGGTTCATAGGGAGACCCCTGAGACCCAAAACTGTGGTCCTTTTGTGGTGGTGGAGGTAAGTAGGGGCTATCAGAGAAGGTAACTATAGGTTATGTAGATGTTTTTCAACATTAGAGAGCTCTTTCATTTGAAAATTATGGGAGACATGGGACTTGTGGAAAAGAAAGTCTTATATGCCCATTAAAGATGGTTATAACCCAGGGAGTACTGTGCCAAGCATCTTACTAGATTAAAAAAACACAAAAAGTTTTTGAGGTATTAATTTCAGGTGCAACATAATGATACAATATTTGTATGTATAGTGAAATGATTACTACAATAAGTCTAGATATCATCTGTCACCATTCATAGTTACAATTTTTTTCTTGTGATGAGGACTTTTAAGATATCTTTTAGCAAATTTTAAATATGCAACACAATATATTAACTATAGTCATCATACTTTATATTATATCCCATTTAGGGCAATGGATTAATTTTGAAATGTTTGTCCCTTTTAAAATCTGCTCTAATATTCTCATACTTTTTCTATCATTAGCTTTCTCCTTAACTGTGAATATCTTCTGAGGTCCATCTACATTGTTTTCTGAAAGATAGATGCAAACAGGATTGTCCTAAGGGATTATTAAATGCTCAGTGGATGTTGGGAGATGCAGGTGAATGTGGTGTCATATTCTATAATACTAGGCCACTTTACCAATAGGACAGTTGTAAAGAATTTGCACACCCATCAGTAGACCCATCATTATTTGTTTAGGGTAATTAATACTTTAATTACTCCATCTGTCAGGAACACATCTGCTGAGGGTTTCTACATTGATTTTGACTTGTGAACCCCTTTTGGTGGTTTGGTGAAACCTATCTATTCCTTCTCAGAATATTGTTTTTAAATGCATAAAATACATAGGATTACAAAGGAAAACTTTGTGATTAGCAAAATATTATAAAACAAATTTGTAATCTAATAGTTTTACATTAAGCAGGAAGACTTGGTGGCAGTTATAACTACCTACGTTCGAAGTTGTGAAGAGCATGAAAAATAGTTCAGTGTACCTGCAACAACTATAATATGCTATGAAGATAACTTTGACTTGTATTGGTGACAAAGTCACAGGTACTAATATTTTACTGTGATTCTTTTACTACATTCATAATTGAAGGAAGTGTCAAATTTCAGTCTGGAGATGGATGCTGCTGACTGTTGCACACCAATGGCAGTGAACTAACACCTAAAAATGGTCAAAATGGTAAAATTTATGTTATGTATATTTTACTACAAAAAAAGAAAAAAATTTTGTTAGAGGTTAGTGAAAATAAGGATGTGCTTTTTTTCCTTAGCCAAGTTCACAGCCACCCTGAATTCTATCCCAGTTAAGAGTCCCTGGCTCACAACCTTTGCTTTAAAGACCCAACATTTTACATATAATCATATATCTTATATCATGGTGGTTATGTAGACTATACATTTTTATGTCAATAAAATAAAATAAAACAATATAAAACCAAAAAACCTTTCAGTAGATATTGTATTTGTGTGCACATGTACAATATATGTTACACATGTGGTATGCACCCATAGATAGTAAAAAGAAGAGTCAAAACCAGAGACAGAGTCAAATAATGCATTTGATACTTTCATGTCTAATAATATGACAGAATAGATAACATAAACAAATAAATAAAATTAATTAGGTAGCAAAATAAACCAAACAAGGACTAATACCATACAATTTCACTTATATGTGGAATCTAAAGAGCAATATAAATGAACTAACAAAATAGAAACAGACTCATGGTTGCCAGCGGGAAGAGGGTTGGGGGGCTGGGTTCAAAAGGTGAAGAGATTGATAAGTACAGATTGGTAGTTACAGAATAGTCTTGGGGATGTAAAGTACATCATAGGGAATATACTACAAATATGTACAGACCCAGGAGGGTGCTAGAAATACCAGGAAGAGCACTTTTTAAAAAAAGATATCTCTTATTTTTTTTCAGAGAAGAAGGGAGATGGGTAGAGAGTTAGAAACATCAATGGGAGAGAAACATCGATCAGCTGCCTCCTGCACACTCCCCTTTGGGGATGTGCTCGAAACCAATGGCCTTGGCTGGAATCGAACCTGGGATCCCTCACTCTACAGGCCGATGCTCTATCCACTGAGCCAAATGGGTTAGGGCCCAGGGAGAGCACTTTTTAACGTATATAATTGTCTAACTGCCATGCTATACTCCTGAAACTAATATAAAATAATGTTGAATGCAAATCATAATTGAAAATAAAGTTAAAAAATAATTAACTGAACTGATAGGAAGTTAGAGAAATCCATAGTGTACAAAATCAATGAGAAAGAAAGGAGAAATTAAAAATCTAAACAGTTTAATAGCCATTAGGGTAATTGAAGCAGTATTTTTTTTTTAAAGATTAAGACAAAGACGACAGGTCCAGATGAGTTTATAGACAAATTTTACCCAATATTTAAGGTACAGGTAATTCCGATGATGCACAAATTCTTCAGGAGCTGAAACTCCAAGGAATCCTCAAATCACTTTATGAAGTTACCTTGATATTAAGTCCAAACAAGAATAGCATGTGAACGGATAATTACATCACATTTATAAATATTTTATAAGAATCATAAAGTATTAATCAACCCAATACAGCAATGTATAATAAACATAATATATCATCACCAAGTTTGGATTATATGAAGAAAGCAAATGTAGTGTAATGTTAGAAAATCTCTGTAATTTACCAACATTAACAGATTAAAGTTGAAAAAAACCATTTCAATCAGTGCACTAAAAACGTTCAATAAAATTCAATATCTATTTATGCTAAAAAAATTAGTAAACAAGGAATAGAAGGAAAATTCCTCAAACTTATGAAGAGATCTACAGAAAACCTGCATTGAACCACCTGGTTACTGTGAAACTTTAGAAAACTATCTGTAAAATCAGGAACAAGATAAGGATGTCTATTACCATCATTTCTACTCAGTTTTATTGTAGAAATACTAGCTTGCAAAAAGAAGAAAAAGGAATAGAAAGTATAAAGATTTAAAAATGGGGGGGGAAGTTATTTGCTGATGGGTATTAATTGGAATAATTCCTCTCTCCTTATAATGCAGCAATTTTCAACCCTTTTCATCTCATGGCACACATAATCATTAAACTTCTGTAGCACATTTTAAAAATATTTTTTTGCTGACCTGACAAAATATATATTTTGCTGATCTGACAAAAAATAGGCGTAATTGTGATTCATTCACACCTGATAGCTATTGTTGTGTTGGAGGTTGTCATTTTTAAATTTGACAATCTAAGGGACAAGAGGTCAGTGCCCCTGAGTAGTCAGACATTGCATCTTTCCCCACACTGTTGAAAATCACTGCTGTAATGGGATTATGTCCTCCCACCACTTTTAGCTTCATTAGCCCCGAGTCCCATATGGAGAGTTTAAGTTCTCCCCTCCCTGACTTTGTCCTTGGCCATGTCATATGCTTTGACTACTAGGATGTGTTAATGTGATTGTGCACCATTGGCTTGGCTCATTTTTGCTCTTGACCTTGGCTCTCAGAAAAGCATCTTCTAGATAGTGACCACTGTTAATGCTTGGGACCCAGAATGAGGAGATATGTAGAGGCCAGCTAAGCTTAGCAACCTGTTACCGCTTTAATGTAAGTAAAAATTTTGTTTGTAAGCTTCTGGGCAAAAGCTTATTGATTAATACACTGAATCTGTGAATGTTTGCAAAGAAAACCCAAAGAAATTACAGATAAATTGTTAAAATTAACAGGAGCATACAAATGTTCAAAATTGCCTTTCTATCCACATTTCTAATCCCCAGAAGCAAACTGTCCAAAAATACAATTTAAAAAGACAATAATACCTTTAAAAATGACGTTATCTAGAAAAAATGTATGCAAAATCTTTGTGGAGAAAATAATAAATTCTATTAAAAGATTTTTCAAAGACCTAAATAGCTGGAGATAATGCAATATGCAAAAATGTAAATGTGCACTTTCCCAAATTGGTTCTTAGATGCAGAGCATCTCCAATCTGTTTTTATCTCTCACTTGAGCTTGATATTTATCTTCAGTTGCCCTCTAGCTTTTGCACAATATATGGGACATTAAATATTTAAAGTTCCATTTATTTCCAGATATCACAAATTCAATGTGAATTAAAATGAAGTCAGCATCACCGCTTTTACTATATTCCTTGTGCTTCTGGATGGCCCTGCCATCCTCTCAGACACCATAGCTAGAAGTTTGGGAATTGTCTCATGCTCTTTCTTGTTCCCATTCTCCATCACCACTGCATTGTCTTAGGCCTGACATTTGTCCTTTCCTGGAGTGACTTTTTAAATACTCTTGGTCTTTCACTTCCTTTTCTAAACCACCTTCCATATGTGTGCTAGAGTGATTTTTCTAAATCTGATCATCTCAACCTCTGATTATAATCCATTCTCTTAAAGATAAAACCCAAACTTCTTTAAGGTTTGACCTCTTTCCTCAGCCGATCTCTCATCATAATTCTATGCGCATCTTTTACCCCAATAGAGTCATTTCCTTGTAGTTCTCCAAGCTTGCCAAGCTGTGTCTGCTCTTTTTCTTGGAATAGTCTTCCTTCTCCCCCTTTTACTGAACTGCTACATTTACTTCAAGACTCAGTTTAAGTGACATCTCCCCTGATCATTCTCCACTCTCATATGCAATAAAGTATCTTCCTCCAGAACATCTATCAACACAGTGCAATCAATGACTTTCTAGTCTGTCCCCCAATGAGATTATGAATTTGTTTAGGATACAGGCTGTATCAGTTTCTGCTCGACTATTTAGATCTTAGATGATTATGAAATGTTTGTCCACTCTTCAGACTTCTCATAAAATGTCAATTCTAACTTAGTGTGTGTGTGTGTGTGTGTGTGTGTGTGTGTGTGTGTGTAAGAATTTCTTTTCATTTCAGTAAGTTGCTCACTGGCTGTGTGATTTTCAATGTGTTCTTCTAGATCGGTTCATGAATGTAGTCCCTAGTAGTATGACTTAAAAGGCATGCCTAATCTGCTGAACTTTATTTTTATTTCAGTTAAAAAATCTGGATCCATTTTTACTGTTTGATGAATTTAAAGGAGGTAGACCAGGTGGATTTCCTGATCACCCACATCGAGGTTTTGAAACAGTAAGTAAAACAATTTAACTGCAAAAGTGTTTATTTTAAAACTTGCCTCTGTTTTTAAATTTACTAATAATTTTTAATGATAAATTAAACTTTCAAAGCAATGAGTATTGGCAAAAATTAATTTATGAGTTCCTGGCTATTGACTGGCTATTAGAGAATTGTAATATCTATTTTACATGAAGTATATTCAAATGGGTAAATTAACTGGTTTGTTTTTTTAATATTCTTTGCATTTGTGCCACTGGAGACATTCCTATTCAAGCAGTTAATAAAGAGTAAGAATTGACTTTTTTTTCTTTTGTTAAAAATATATTTTATTTATTTTTTACAGAGAGGAAGAGAGAGGGACAGAGAGTCAGAAACATCGATGAGAGAAAATCATCGATCAGCTGCCTCTTGCATATCCCCTACTGGGGATGTGCCCGCAACCAAGGTACACGCCCTTGCAATATGCAAAAATGTAAATGTGCACTTTCCCAAATTGGTTCTTAGATGCAGAGCATCTCCAATCTGTTTTTATCTCTCACTTGAGCTTGATATTTATCAAGCTGGAATCAAACCCGGGACCATTCAGTCCACAGGCCGACGCTCTATCCACTGAGCCAAACCAGTACAGCAAGAATTGACTTCTTAATATATTTATACAATTAAAATTTATTGGAGGTAGAAGAAAAACATTAAGATATGATTAAAATAATTTTATATTTAAAACTTGTTTTTCTTCAAGGCTATTCAGAAATAACGTCATGTAATATAATATTTTAAACTCAAAAGACAGTCTAGGATCACTATGAGTATTTAATCTCAGTTCTAAGGAATTTTATATAATTAAGGTGGTTAAAATAGAACATAACCTAAAAATTAGAATTTTAAGGACATACATATACATTTACAAAGTTAACTGTAAAATTTATAGAGATTCTGCTGCAAATTTGTTTTGTGTTTTAGATATAGAAATAGAAATGTGTAATATAATACTGTGCACTTTCAAAGATTCCTGTTCCCCACATATACATATTCTAGAGGCCCATTGCATGACATTTGTATAAGAATAGGCCCCTGGCTTCCCTCCCAGCTGCCTGGGAGCCAGCAAGTCCCCGTTCCCTGGCTGCCTGGGAGCTGGCATGTCCTGGGTTCTGTCCTGTAGCACCACTCCAGTAGCTCCCTCCACCTCTTCCCTCCCCATCATAGCAGGCTTCACAATGCTCAGGGCCTGCATATGCAAATTAACCCACATCCTTTTTGGTTAATTTGCATACTCACTCTGATTGGCTGTGGGCATAGCAGAGTGGTTAATTTGCATGTTTCTCTTTTATTAGGTAAGAATTCTGGAAAAATACCAGGATAGTTACAAAATTTAGCCATCAGATACTTGAGAAAAAAACAGTAATTTTGGGAACACACCAGGGCTTGTTAAAGATTTAGTGTGTTTGTCAAGCAAATTATTAAATGAGTAAATATTCATTGAAAGCTGGTGACAAGCAGGCATTGGTATTGAACGATCTTTTGCATGCTAGTGTATGTGTTTGTATGTTGGGAAGTATGGGGAGAACACAGAGAAAGGGAGGCTAGCAAAGAATGAGGCCTGACCATCCATTGCCTCCAGTATGCAGTCTAGTTAAAGAAGCAAAAGATGGACAGGTAAGCAGTTCACCATTACAGGGATGAACCAAGAAGATTCTGGAAATAGTATGAATGATGAAAGTAGTCTGTTCTCCTTTTGTCATTTAGCCATTTGCTTTCCAATTTCTTTCTCATTCCTTTCATCTAACCTATCCTGCTGAATTCTGACCCAGTTCCAAATCATATGGTATGGAGACATTCTCACCATTCCATCCTATTGCTCCAGTTACCATTTTGCTAATTGTTCATGGTCTTTTAAAGTATTATTTTCTCCGTCAGGTTTTCCAGATAATCCCAAGTAGATGCACTTGCTCCTTCATTTGGTCCCGTTTAGCATTATATTTTTACCAGGCTCATGCACATTAGAATATTAGGTCTCTATGGTGACCCCAATCATATCCTGTCTATCTTGAATTGCAGGTGGCAATTGAAGAATTGCCTTAATTGCCACCTCTCTTGGCCATGCCAAGATGACTGTAAATTGCTTCAGCTGAGATAATCGTGCACTGGGCCGCTAGAGAATATATAAAAGGACAAAATATATTGCTTTCCTCTCCACTATGAAAAGGGGGACCGCCATTAATTGTAAGGTGCTCAACCTTAAACTACTCAAGTTCAGCTGTAGGCTACTGGTATTTGACTCTTTTCTTTTGAGTAACCTTAAAATATATTCATAATTGTAGTCAATCCTCATTATTTTGTGGATTCTGTATTTCTGAATCATCTACTTGCTCAATTTATTTGTAACCCCCAAATCAGTACTTTTGATTCATGGATGTGCACAGACAGGCCCAAGGTGCATGTTCCCAGCTGAGGATGAACAAGGTGATGCTCTGCTTCCCGTTTCAGCTCTCACACTGTAAATGGGTGTCCTTGAGGCCTATTTAATGTCACATTTTTTACATGTTAGTGCTTTTTTTTTTGTTGGCGAATTCACTGTTTAAAATGGCCTCCAACTGAAGTACTATCTGGTGTTCCTAAGTGCAAAAGGCTGTGAGGTGCCTTATAGAGAAAATACATTACATAATCTTCTTTCAGGCATGAGTTATAGTGCTATTGGCTGTGAGTTCAATATTAACCAATCAGCAACATATATTAAATAAAATGTCTTGAAATGGAAACATATATAAAACAAGGTTCTGTGTTGGTCAGTTCATGAAAATGTGGCCAGAAGCTTGCAGGATCACATTCCTGTGTCTCCCTAGAAGCAGTGGCTAATTCAGTGATCATGGCACCTTTAATAGAATATTGCTACTAAGAGTAACTAGAATCAACTGTATCAGTTTCCTCCAGGAGTGTAGATAAGCCAAGGAGTCATCTTTGTCTTATATAAACTTTAAAAGTATGCAATTTAAAACCATTCCACATGTAGGCTGGTATTACCTCCTTTGTCTTCAGCAGGGGAGCATTCTTAAAAGGAGTTGCACATGTTTTGTCTTTCCACAATGCCAGGTTTATTAGAGAAGACACACCAATAAGCCAATAGAGTCATATGCAGGTTACACACGGAGAGGGGGAGCTTATGTGATAGAAGCGAGCAGAGCAAATGTCCAGAGCAAAGTCCCAATCATTGGTAGCATTTGCAGGTGGAAAGGAGGGCGTCATTCCCAAGCCAGGTGGCTAGAGTGGCAGCACCCTTCCCATGGCGAGCAGGGCTCTGATCATGACCCATGGTATGGCCAAGCTCAAGCTTTGGGTGGTGGGAGCGTGAAGTTCTTATAGCCCACAAAGGGTGGAGGGCCCATTCATATTGGTGTCCTCATGGAGTCCTTATCCAAGTGTCCAAATTTGTGGTTTTGGGTGTTCCTGGACCTCCCTAAGGGCATTCCCATTACACCCTATTACCTGTCTTTTTTGTTTTTGTTTGTTAATCCTCACCTGAGGATATTTTTCCATTGATTTTTGTAGAGAAGGAGAGGGAAAGACAGAGAGATACATTGATGTGAGAGAGATACATCGATTGGTTGCCTCCTGCATGCACCCTGACCGGGCCGGGAAACCTGCAATCAAGGTACATGTCCTTGACCAGAATTGAAGCTGGGACCCTTCAATCCACAGGCTGATGCTCTATCCACTGAGCCAAACCAGCTAGGGCTCATTACCTCAGTCTTGACACAGCACTTGTTATAACTGTGTCTTTATCATGGCTCACTGACTACATATTGGATTGTCAGAGAGGTCCAGCAATTATGCTCTGCTCTTGCTCTATACATCCCTGGAGCATTTTTTTTTACAAGCTTGATATAAATTTTGATAATGCTAATTAGTACAAAGAACAAAGTTAGAAGTACTTCTTAAGTTATCTTACCATACAGAATTAGGTATTGTTATTGTTTTGATGTATTTTCTTCTAGTACTTTTTTCTGTATATGTTTTGTGTCTTTTTAAAACTTAACATTATACTCTTAGCATTTTCCCACTATTCTTAAAAAAGCTAACCTTTACTAACTTTATTAAACATCTGATGTGAAGGTTGTATCAGTTGACATTACTGCAATGATGTATGAGCGTACCTTTCCCCCCTCCGTATCACAAATACAATATTCACCTAACTTCTCTTTATCGTTGCTATTTTGACAAGTGAAAAATAATGCCTCATGATAGTTTTAATTTGTATTTCTTTTATCTGAGTGATTAACTTTTCATTTTTAAGCATCTGTTTACCATACATAATTATATCCTTGCCCTAGTTTTTCTGTTGGGATGCTGGTATTATTATTTTATAGAAGCTTTTTTTATATCAAGGAAATCAGGCCCTTTTCAATGACAGGAGTTTCAATAGTGTTAGGAGGGATTAGGCTTGTTTTGCATATCCCTAAAGGTAAACCTTTGGATACGTAGCATAGAATCAAACCAAAAGAAGGATGAACTTTATAACAATTCATTATGCAGAGGTAGAAAAGCCTCTCTGAGTTGAAGCGATTTTCTGATTTCTGGGAAATACAAACATGCACTGGATATTAACATAATGGGTGTGTTACCAGGTTCAATGTTCCTTAAAATGGCTGTGTACTACATGAGTCAGTGCTGTGCTGGAATAAAAAAATATTAGAGCTAAGAAGAATTTTAAAAATAAAAATGAAATTATGCTGTACTAACACATGAATGTAAAAACTGAACACATACACATATTTGAGAGCATGCTCATTTTTTAAAAATTAACAGTGAGACACAAAGAAATGTGGAGGATATTTTTCTACAGAATTCTTATTACCTCAATAGGATGGGTATACCTGGTCTCACCTGGAACCTCAGGCTCCTCCTGAGATTTATGGAATCAAAACCTGCATTTTAACAACATTGTCAAGTGATTGATGTGCACATTAACATTTGAGAAGTGCTCCTCTAGATGACTTTGCAAATTAGAGATATTGTAA